GGGGGGGAGAAGGAAAGAGGAGGTTGACATAAAGATTGATGACTATGTTTGTTTATTGAACCGTGAGATTTGTGTATGCAAATGAGCCTGGATCTATACCGAACAGTTGCGCCTCTTTGTTCAAGGGGAATTCTGCTTTTACCTCTCTCCTTTTTATGTTCCTAATGATGGTGAAAAATGGAGAATGGGAAGAGGGTTGGTATTTATGATAAGGAATGATGATGATGAGGATGATGATGAGGAGGAGGAGGAGGAGGCCGAGGAGGAGGAGGATGCTTTAAAAGCCAAAAAGAGATACAGCACTTCGTTTCATTGTTTAATATTATGACCAATAAAGCTCACCGGCCTTTGTTGTGCTGCGTTATAGGCACTTCGCTGTCCTACACAGAAAATCCGAGTTCGATTCTTGACATTTATTTTATAAAGTATCTCGGTCTTTCTGGTGGGATTTTGTATCTCCTTCAGTCCGGGTTGGCCCTCACTGGCAGGATCAGAACCTGCCTCCTAAATATGTATCCAAATTGTGTCAATATGGGCGTAAATGCACCTTCGTTTTTTCTAAACGAAGAAAGCATGAAAGAGAATTCCTTACCTGAGTTCATCTTTGAGTATCTCAAACTCGGCGACAAAGACGTGTCCACTTCTGTACATCGAAATCACTAGTTACCTTTTTCTGTTTGAGAATTTAGAATTTACTCCAAATGCAATACAATGATATGTACAGTAATATGCTCAACAAAAGCAAAAACAAAATATTAAAAAACACAACAACAACAACAAACAAATGTTATGCGACAAAGACGTGTCCACTTTGATATAACGAAATCCCCAGAAATTCTAACTGTTGAGAATTTAAAGTTTTCTCAAAGTGTGATTCGTTCAACAAAAGCACAAATTATGTTAATTGTGAAGTCATCCGACCATTCCCTTGTCTCGGGGACGTTTAAGGCTTGTCTGTGTCTGTACCTCGGGGTCTTAACCCTTTGTGTACGGACGGCTATTTAACTCCTTGGCAAGCAACCTAAATTATTTATTTGTCACCTTAGGGTTGAGCACCACAAACTTCCATGTAACTCCACTCCCGTTTAACCCACTTACGTCAAACAAACACTGCACTGGATCTCAGTAGAAAGTCATGTATGATCCAGGCTGCGAACATACAGTTCGATCATAGATAACCAGGATTGGCTGGGATTTGATAGTTGTTTTTTTTAAATTGTTGCTGCGTAAACCAGTTGAACTGGTGCTCCGTGTAGCTTACTAAGAGTTAAAGCAACAAGTTTGTACCTTCCACAGGTTTGAGAGAGTGATCAATGGCGCTCCCGAATTTTAACCCCTTCATTACTGAGACGTCTATCTACACTTGTATAGGCAATATAGAATGTTCAGTCAAGAGATATTTAAACAGACACATGTAGCCTATGTCCTCTGTTAAACTCTTTATCCCCACCTCCTCGTCTATGCGTGTCGTCTGTCCCAGAGCTGTCAACCACATTTGTCGTATTGAGAGAACATAACATTCAGAGAAAGGTAAAATCAAGGGCTGCAACTCTTTGGCCAGAACGTCGTTGAAAAGAATGGACATTAGGGCTTTAGAATAAGATGTGTTAAACTGGTGACGTCATAGGGTGTTTATGCTCTGACAACGCAACTCGGCTGCTTTAGGATTTGAGGGGGTGTGTAGCTGTATTATTAGTGTTATTCATCAGTTCATGCTCTATCATCATCATCATCACCTTGCGCCCCTCGGGGACTCAT